TAATCGACCCTCGCCCAAATTTCCTACCTGCCGACCCAAGTTACGGTTAAGGTTCGGCAATAGGTTAATTCACCGGTGACTTATTTTACCTCCAGGTTTTCCACTTGGCCGAATCCCTGGCAGCGGCAGGCGTGGACGCAGAGACTGCCTTCTTTCCCGCCCTAGCGCCCATAATCATCGACGTGTACGTGCAACGTGCGACCACTTTCCGCGCCTGCCTGCAGAACCCTTCTCCGGCAACAATGTCCAAGGCGGAGTGAGTTGCACCAGTCTTTGTTCCGTTTTCCAACCAAAACTTTTGTTTGTCCTGAGAAGAAAAAAGAGCGTCAATACCTCCCCCCACCCAACTTATCAACCCTCTGGGAATGTGAGCCCAGAAGGGTTGTGGCGTTGAGACTTAGTCCAGGCAAGATAGTTAGCCGAGAGATGGGGAGAGCGTGCAGATAACCACTGTTTCTGACAGACAGGGCTGGATTTAGACGCCTAACGATCACGGAGACCTGGTTCGAATCTCAGGTTGGGCAGGGCCGACTGACGAGAGTCATTTTTGTCACCGACTTCCTTGTCGGCGTTCCTGTCCGCATCACTAGTTATTGCCTCGGAGGGCTCTAGATTGCGTTCCAAGGCGCAACAGGGCGAGCAAATGGCTGTTGTCACGGATAATACCTCGTGACTATTAATCACCCGTCCATGTGCAGTCGCTTTTCAGGGCTCCAAACTGTGCCGCCGAGGCAGGTGGCACCACCAGTGTTGCGGTTCACAGTGTTAAATGTCAATTTGTGTGGTTTGGCCAAAAGTCATCTCTTTGCATAGGCATCATGCCTAAAGGAAGAATGCTATAGAGCGGCTATCGCGAGTTTCGGACAGACAGGGCTGGACATAAGATGCCTCACGACCACGGAATCCTGGTTCGAATCTCAGGTTGGGCAGGGCCGACTGACGACAGTCATTTTTGTTACCGACTTCCCTGTCAGCATTCCTGCCCGCATTACTAGTTATCGCCACCTGACTGCCAACAGGGTTACCAATTAACCCATCTGCTGGCCACCTAGCACCTCTATTAGGTGCGGACTAAGCACTAAAGCCCTTCCTTATCTTACCAGGGGCTACATATTTTGTTTATGTAGCTTGTATTTCTCATTTCCGTTTATCGTAACGTTAGTTCAAGCCACCCCTCCCCCCCCTCCCCAACCAGTGGCATGCAACTGGACACCCCGAGGACATTTAGACTCGCATAGTACTCGTCTACACCTCATTCAAGACGTCGTAGCCTTAATCACTCTTCTGCTTGAGTGGACCTTCCGCACAGAAGATCGACACGATCGGCGAGAAGGATCGTTGGGGTCCCTCGCTTGTAGTGATTGACCCCCCTCTAGCGCTTTTTGCCTAATAGTTCCCCCTTCGGTCTCCTCCTGTTTGCAGAGAGTGGATGGCCCATCGTGAGAGCATCTTAAACTTCATGCTGCCCAAGTTCATCGGCCTGCCCAGCACCTACGACTTCCTCTCCGTGATCCTTGAGGAGGCCGCCTTGTCTGATCGCACCGCTAAGTCCTCCCCGAGGCAGGCGCTACACTGGTGCACTGTAGCCTCCAAGGTAAGTCATTCCACCGTTCCCCCCCCCCCGACCCATTTTAAGTTGAAAGGAGCAGGCCTTGGTGTTAGAAAGACTTCGACGAAAGAGCACTCCATTCAAATCGTACAAATGACAGAATTAAACCCAAGTCGGTAGTCTTTTTTTGGCACACAGAATGACAGTAACGTGAGGAGCAGTCCGTCAAACCTGCTCGCAGGTAGGTTTTTTGAAGGCATGTTAGGTCTCTAGAGGTTGGTAAAGACGCAAGGCAGACATTGTCGTGCTTGTGCAATTATGAGACATCTGACAGATGCTTTCTAGCATTACGCTGACCTATATAACCCCCAGATCTTCCTTCCCGAAATGCCAACTTCCTGCCCATATGCTTTCCGATAGTTCAGTCTTTACTGGCCGCGTTATCTTAGCCCGAGGCTAGTTGGTTGTACAGTCGCTAGTAGGGATAATGCGACCCCACGGCGGGCCGCGCGAGAAATGCGTTCTACCAACACGCGGCCAGGTTGGGTCACGGCTTTATTGGGTCATGCCTTATTCCTGATGCTCACCCATAACAGCTACAGTAGGTGGACTAACTCATGAAATGTCAACCGAAATTCATTTTCGTTTCGAAAAGATTACTTAAGTAGGCTTGTGAAACCAATCGTTGTGTAGTATAATTCTATAATAATTCAGTTACCTCAGGATGTCGGCTCTCGAATGAACTTCTTTTCGGCTGCATGCAGAATCTACACTTTGTAAAAATGACTACTTAATTAGCATGCATTTTTCTCATTGATTTTCGATGCCCTTAAAAATTCAATTATCTTTCATAGAAAACATGCATACAAATATTCATTCTTTTGCTCATTCGGTGGGAAATTAAGTCCTCCAATTTTGTACTCAAAGAAAGGGTATTATCCGGCTTTAAAAAGGTTTACAATTGTGAGGTTTTTTTAATACCGTGAAATGGCCGTTCATGAAACGTCATGTATCTGCATTTACCAATGAGACTTGTAAAGTTAACTATATGACCCAAATCCACCGCTAAATTTTATTAACCCAATATAGCTTCCTCTTAATGCCGTAGAGAAACGTATGGCTTGTAGTTTGGAAACCCTGGATGCAGGTGTAACGGCAGGTCAGTTTCCAAATTTCGGTTGACATTTCATGAGTTAGTCGACCTACTGTACCATACATAGGGGCGGGGGGTGGCACACGTAGGCGCAGGTTAACCTCGGGCCAGCCATCTGCGACCAATCCCCGCGTCAGATGGCTCACCGGCTCGGACAGCAGTCTGGTGCTTGGGGGAGGGGGAGGAGAGCGTGGTGACGACTATGGTGACACCGTTCTCACGCTACTTAGCGCACTTTCCTCACTATAAACAGTCTGGTTGGCTTTTAAACCATCGCGATGCCCTGAAAGCCGTAGCTTGGAGGGCTGCCGACTGACGAGACGAATCTTCCATCTCCTCAGGGCGGAGAGTCAGGCTCCCTCGTACTGTGACCTCTACGGCACTCACACTCAGCTTGGAATCCGAGCCGCCTTTTGTTTCTGTGCCTACCTGACCCAGGCGCGTGTGTGTGTGGCACGCGTAGATGGACTGTTTAGCCCGATCCGGCCTCCGACCCGTCTGATTCTGTCTTGATACCGGGGTCGGATAGGTGTGTGCGGCAGATGCTGTCACTATAAAAGAAATCACGCGCAAGTCACCGTCCCTGCCCCCCCCCCTCTGCTGTGGAGCACACGGCGGGCATCATCGAAATTGACGGTCGAGCTCTGGTCGTACTCTGGGCCGTTTTCGGAGCGCTGTGCATTTTAAATCTAGTCCTTCCCCCTTCCCGCACCTTATCTAGGCCTCTCCAGTCCCCCACTGAGATGCATCCTGTTTCCAATTCTCGCAATTTCCCATTTCCGCCCTGTTTTGGCCTGCGTTTTGTAGTCGTCCATAGCTATCGTAAACGGTTGGGGCCTAGTATCCGCGCGCGTGATTTACTGACTGGCGTACAGCCTGGATAGTCGCTCTCTATTAATTTTCTTCCTCCCCAAAGCATGAATTCCCTGTCCGCGGGTAGGATATACGGGAAACAACCTTCGTAACTGGGTCACGTGTTGCGCACTCAAATCGCCTTTTATGCTAGGTGTTAGCTTAGTTTTGTCTGTCGTACACCTTCAGATCGCCGGTCATCTTCTTCCGGCCCTGGCCGAAAACCGCGTGGCCCTGGACACTGAGGAGGCGGCTGATGGCCTTCTTCGTCTTACTGCCCGACTTTTGGGACCTTGGCCCGAAAAGGAGCTGGAAAATGGCTCTGTGTCTGGCATTCTCACATACCAAGACTTTTGTGCCCTGCTGATTGGCGCATTGGCCGCTGAACCGTCCCAGCAGCATACATGCCAGACTTTGGCAAGTTGTTTTTGTCGGCCTAACCCTCTCTCCAATCCCCTTTTATCCTGGAATTCTTTTTTTTTATTTTATTCGAATTATATTTTTGTTCGGATCTTAGTTCGTAGCCGTACCTGCAGTAGACAGCCAAACCCCGAACCCATAACCTTAACCCCTCACTCCAACCCCCCACTCCTAACCCCTAACAGGTACAGCTACGAAATTGAGATCTTGCCGTTTTTTAAAAAATCTGGGCTATTATGTTTTATGCATACATGAGGCAAAATCCTCCAGCTACTAGACACCGCTGTAGCTTGCTGTCCGTGGACTTTGTTAGTCACCTTTCCTCCAATCAAAAAACTAGGTGCTGGACGCTTAAAGTCGCTAATGAAATTGCTATGTGGGGCTGCCAATGAGGATGTAGGTAGTGGACCGCCCGACTCCACTTTTGGGTTCCAAAAGTAGATGAGGTAACACGCTCACGCCAGACTCCTAGAGGCTGAATGTTTGTGGTGGCAGACTAGCGGCTTCGGTTTGCGCCACGTGACTTTGGCCTAGTCTGTCGATAAGGTCATCTGTTTTGCCTACCCATAGCATCGATTTCCACAGTTTGGTCGCCTCTAGAGCGCGCATAGGCAGAAGTGCTGGCAAAAACTGAATTCTCCTCTGGTTTTATGCTGCACCGACCAATGACCGAACACAAGACCCCGTAAAAATTGGCGAAACTTTTGTGTAAGCATGCGTTAGGAGCCAAATTGTTAACAAACGCCTATCCATATCCCTACCAAAATCTCAGGACATACTACCCGAGTCTTCGGGCTGCTTCTAGAGTATTAAATGCAGGAACTGTTTAAGTGTCAAAAGAATCAACCACGATACTTATACGTTCCGTCCGTGTCGATAGTCTGCTAGAAGAGAAGAACGAGCACAATTTAAGGTCTTTTTTAGAGAAAAAGTAAAAAAATACCACCATATCACGGACAAGTGAGGGGAAGAAGGAGTGTTTACATCACTGCATAGTCGTATTAGCGTAGAAAAACAGATTTGCCCTTATTTCATGAGTATGTCTGTCCAGAAAATTGAGTGTAGTTGTGGATAGGCCGCAGCCAACAGCTCTGGATCGGCATAACTGTGCGATTTTAACTCGACCTTGCCGCTTCCTGGTTCATCACAGTACCCCACCAGACTGAAGTCCACATGATTCATGACGACTATGAGCCATCGAAGGCGGGGCATAACTCTGAAGCAGTTCTGAAGAATCTCGTCATCCAGTTCATCCCTCCAGCTGGTGCGGAGGAGAAGGTATTCTGTCTCCTGGCACTTTCGCAGCCCACTAAAGTCGCAGGGCACCTCAGCCTCGGGGAAGTCGAACACTAGGGTCCGCACAGGGTGTGCCGTTGCAGTCTGCAGAGCCGTCTCCATGTCCACGGTGCTGGTCCCGACGTAGAGCTTCTCCAGGCGGGGACAGGCGGCGAGAAGAACGTCAAGGTTCGACCAGCGCACCCACTTCCCAGCGCAGAATCTCAGGGTGGTGAGATGGGGGAACATACGGAGGAATGATCCCAGCTTCTTCGAAGAGACCGCCTGCGTTTTGAAGCGCTCGAAATCCATGTGGCGATCCGGCTCAATGCTCAGCTCGGTGACCTTCGTAAAGGCGCCTTTCAGAGACCTGATCTGGCTGTCTACAGTTGAATCGAGACTGCAACCGAAGCAGAATTCGGCCGAGACCTCTAGTCTGGTCAGACTGGCCTTGCACAGAGTCAAGAGCTTGAGAAATTTATCCTTGCAGAATGTAGCCAGCTCGTTGAGTAGTTCATCCTCATGCTCATAGGCGCCCTCTTTACAGGCCTCGAAGATGAGATGTCGGATCTCAGCATGTCGAGTCCTGATTAGTTTTTCGGCGGTGCTTGTCTCGCCCGAGCTGTTCTCCCTGTTCAGAACTGCAGGCCGTCCCTGCAAGTAGACTAGGCTCACGTCCAGTGGGTCGATTCGCTGATCAGCGATGGCCATGGTAGAGCAGGAGAGTAGGAACACGGACTGGTCACTGTAGGCCGTCTGCGCCGTCAAGCCCACATTCCACTGGACACGTTCTGTCACACCAGCGCCACACTTTTCGCAAGGCTCCAGGTTCCCAGACAGAGGCGTCTTTCGCTTGCCGGAGAAGACCACCTCAGCGTCGGGAAAGCGGCTCATAACCTCCGTCAGGTCGATGGGCACCGTGGCATCTCGAATATTCGTCAAGATGACCTTCTCTATTTTGGGATAGACAAAACGTAAGGAGTTGCGTTTGAGGATCGGCGAGTTGACCGGCAGGCTCAGGGTCCTGACTGTGGGCATGGAGAAGTCTTCGTAGTGGTTGAAGAACTCCTCATCACTGTCCAGCGGGGCCTCCCCAGCAAGGGTGAATTTACGTGTGAAATCCCAGGTCTCGAGGAAACGGTCTGTCTGTTCGTGCTTAAAAAGTCCGCTCAGGATGACCTTCATACTTCGCACCTTCTTGGGCTCCGCCAGGGGTGGGTAATGTTCCATCGTGCCCTCCATATCCATCTTCACATTGACCACAATCTTCTCTAGGTAGGGCAACATGGTCTCATCGTCGGTAGTAGGTCGTGGTCTGTAGATGCGCAGGTGGTCAAAGATGCTGATACGCTGGTTGCGCAGGTCCAGCGTCACGAGATTACAGGGTCCGGTCTCAGACATAAGTTTGTAGAGCATGAGACAGGCACCGCCTACGTAGGTCGGTCCACAGGGATCACCCAGACTGAGATGCAGTTTCTTGTCTTCTGTGGTGAGCAGTTTCACGAGTTCCTTGCTGGGTTTGCGAAACTTCTCGGTCATTCTATAGCGACTGCAGCTCCGGCCGTCCCAGTTTTGAATCAGGGCCATGCAATTGGCGCATTCTTCGATCATGAGATACCGGCTGATCGCCCGTGATATGATCGGCTGCGTCAGAGCGCGCTCCTATTGATTATTAGGGTAGAGGACAAAGGATGCTATGGAAGGGCATTCACCAATACTTTCTCATCACCAATCTGAGAAGATTTCGCAATTCTTTGTCATTCGTATATAACTTGTCGCAGCGAATTATGTCTTCTTCGGTGTCATGATGTTTCTACTTGATAACTAACTAGTTCTAGAATCCAACCTTCAAACTCACAATCGGCCTTCACTGGCATTTCGAAACTTACGACTTGTCTAATTCCAAAGGACGGTCTACCATACTTATTTAGCGACACAGTATGGTTTATTTTAGTTCATTTAAGGGAGAACTAGTCTCATTGTATTGCATTATTCAGTACAAAAGGCAGTTTTGAAGCCCTAACACACCGAAGAAATGCCTAGTCTCTATCATGTTAGATCGGGAATTTCAGTGCACGCGTTAATTACTCGGTCTTTTATGCAGTAAATTTGATGTCATGGTGTACAGTTTTGCTTAGTTGTTTGTGCGTAGGCAAGTTTTGGTCCAAGAATGCAGAATTGCTTTGTTTTTGATCGATTACATAATTCCTTTTCCAGCCCAAGTTTTCCCGGACAAAAAACTTGCGAACGATGCCCTCGAATGCAATCCAGAAAGGCTTCAGGAGTTCATTTCATGCAGCCTTGTATCAAGCTCATCTCTACACTCTACCTACGATTTTGCACATAAGCAGAGATAGCTCCACAGTTACAGATGTATTTGAAAAAGCTGTTAAGAATTTTATTCGCCTGATGACTCGGATTCTCCCCTGAACCTATCATTTCACCAATTACGCGCAGCGGCAATGATTGCGGGAACTGTTAATCACAATAAGTATGTGCTTGTTTGGCTACTGCATCCATCTGTGACTGTCTCTAATAACGGATTCGAGTGCGGATCCGAAAAGTCAGGCGAATAAAATTCTCGTTTCAACAATCGCACCTCCAAAGGGATTTAGAGCAGTTAGAAGGAGCTTTACAAAATCTGGCAAGTGGCGGCTTAACATAGCAGGACGCTCGTAAAGTTATTTACTGCGATGCACAATAACGGAGGCAATAACTAGTCAACCTACCTGTGGCGTCAATTCCGCCCCCACCATCTTGTCGCACTGCCAGCAACTGCTATTCGCATGTATTCTGGCCGTCTCGCCGTCGGCGCGCGTCCAATCAGATTTCAGCACGTGTGCGTCAAGGCCACACGGGGTGCACTGATTGGTCGATGTTTCAGCGCTGGTCATGCACGCGTCACGAAGATGGGCTGTTTGAGAACTTTCGTCAAACAGAAGCGTTTCAGCAGGCGTGAACTCCAATTATCTTATCGAAGTAGTCATCGTCGCGTTCATCTCCACGTCTGCAGCCTGTGCGCGACCTCGGATAAATCTACTCGTTTTAACTTTTTAGTAACAGCTCCATTGAGAACCCGGTGAATGACTTTAGGCTTATTTGCATGCAATAATTCTTGATGAATAATATCTGGAATCTGCCAACTGTCAAAGTAAACATTATTGCTAGGTCAGGAAGGCGGGATGCAGAAAGTTGTTTCGCCAAAGCCCAACGTTGGTTGGTGGCGTCACGCGATGCGCTCGGGCTGCAGGAAGTGATTGTTTTCCTCGCAACTATCTACCCGAGACTTACTGAATTCCCTAGGAACTGTGGTCTCGATGGCAAGGTCATGTTTAAGTGCTGGGTTGAAATCCTGGTCATTTGTTGTGCGGGCCAGGGGGTGTGGTGGAATGCCAAGGTAAGGATCCTTCCCAGCCATCCGCCTGCGGCCTCCCTCGTCTCCGGTCTTCTTGACTCTGTCTTGACACCGGGCTCAGGCGGGGGAGGAGGAGGAGGGAGTGTAGGTAGATGCTACGCAAGTCTACTGGCAATAGAAACCCCTGCGTAAGTCACCGTCCCTGCTCCCACAGTTGTTACTGTGGGGCACACGGTGGACATCGTCGAAATCGACGGTCGAACTGCCGTATGCAGGTTGTGACGAATGTGCTGAAAGAACAAAAAACCTAATTATTTTGTCAGCATCAGGAATGTAAAATATCTCAGTTGTCTGGGGACTATTGTACGCCACAAACCTGCCAATGATGGTTCTCGATCTCTCTCTCTCTCTCTCTCTGTCCCTCCCCCTTCGATTCGTGCTACTTGACAAAAGCAGAAAATGACTTAGCACGTGCGTTCCTTGTTTTGCTGTGTTTCGAGGAATCAGTTCGTCCCCGGAGGACCCACATAGGATATTGCATTTTTTGCCATACATTGCGGACGTTTCAGGAGCGACCGGGCGCATCACTGAGGGACTAGGTGTTGGAATTGCACACTTCCCCAAAGCCACCATGCACAGCAGACTCATAAAAAACAAAGACCGATTAGATCTCAGTGGGCGATCAGGTGTAGTGTATCGTACATCGTGCTTAGACTGTTCCTCTAAACGCACAGGGGCCAGACTGGATGCATGCTCGGCTCGCACATACACGAACGTAAGCTGGCTGTGCGACAGGACGGCGAACTGTCGCAAGTGTCTGCCCACACCTTCGAAACGGGTCATGAAGTCAACTCCGCACCCGTCTAGGTAATCGTCTACACTGGCAACACGACAAACTGAGGATAGATTGGTTCCGTGCTCATTTTATGCCCAAGCAGGGGCTGACTGGTGAGATGCTGGTGTATTTATGACGCCGATCAGCCTGCTTTTCTCAGCTGTGTTCCGTGTCAAAGGCCGGAACCAGCCTTTTGTTTGTCTGAGTGCTTGAACTCGTTGTTGGCGAGCAGGTGCAGAGGAACGACGCAGCAACAACTGCATGTTAGCTAAGTGCGCACCCATCTGGCTGCCGAAAGCATAGCGCGCGATATGCCGTTTTATAGAGTTTTTATAATCAACCTGGGCCTGCCGGTTCAGTCGTTATCATGATAGGCACTGAATTAAACTGTTGCGCCTTTCTTTTAAGATTGGAATTGACGAGGAAAGCTGTTGGTTTGGCACCGCTGAGTTTCATTAAGTTCATTCAAGCAAAATGTCGGCTGTCGGGAGTCATCTCCCTGTGATAGAACCCTTGTAGAGTAAATAGCCGGCCTCATGGTGGTGATTAGACCTGGGAGATTTCCGCACGGCACCATCACAGTAATCTCTTGCAATGTGGATTTTCAGTAGATCTTGATGGCAACTGCGAGCGCCTCCCGTCGCTCCAATGTCCTCCTTAACCCCGGTTCAGAACCCTTGTGGTCTGCCTGGCGCGTGCTCAAACCCCAGTTCCTCCCGGCTACGAATTGCCAAACATAGTCCGCATCATAACTACTACTACTACTACTACTACTACTACTACTACTACTACTACTACTACTACTCCTACTACTACTACTACTACTACTACTACTACTACTACTAACTACTACTACTA